TTTTTTTTTTTTTTTTTTTTTTTTTTTTTTTTTTTTTTAATATTTTTTTTTTTATTTAAATATTTTTTTTTTTTTTTTTTTAAAAAAAAGGGGGCCCTTTTTCGTGAATAACAGGCCATTTTGGGGAGGTCTGCAGAGTGCAAAAACTTTAAAAAAAATTGCCTCTTCAAATCTTGGTGTGTCTTATACTCCTGTGAGTCTTATACTCCGAAAAATATGGTGACTATCTCTTCATCTTGCTGTATTTCTTCATTTTTCCAATATTGTGTGAAATAATCCTTGCTGTTGTTAGTATTTCATTTATTTCTGATTCTTAAAAACTGGGATGGGTTAGGGGTGTTTTGGGCTCTCTTTGGCTGATAAAAGTAGGCGATATGGAGCTATGTGTTGTATGGCCTGTTGTCCCCATCTATCTCCTATTCCTTCTCTGGCTCTCAATTATTGCCTCAGCTTCTGTTTTTCCTAGAGTCTAGACCCTACTTGACTCATAGCTTCTCATTCATCTTAACCTGCTTAGCCAGTACTGACAGAGAAATTAGAGAGTCATTCTAAGGAAGACCTTTTTCCTTCTGCAGGCTTTAACTGCTACACAAGAAAAGCCTAATTTAACATTGTGTAATGTTAAAATGTTTGTTGAGGAGCACTGAGAAATGAAGTATTTTATGCTAACAGATCACCTGGAATTGGTCGTAATTGGAGAACATCTATACAGATATAGCACATTTGATATTCAGTTCTGTCAGTAAATTTTTTCAAACTTTTTTTTTTTTTGGCCATAAAAAGATTTTTCCTCAGTTCTCACTAAGTTTCAAAAAGTGGATTGTTAAGCCACAGTACATATACGCTCATTGAATATAATCAATTCAGCACTAGAAAGATTGAAGCCTAGCATTTTTTAAAGTTGTATGCTGTTTGTTTTACTGAAGCCTTTTCATTGTTCTGCTTTTATAACTTGAGCTGAGTGATTATGTGTGTTTCCAGGTAGAACTAAAATTTCCTGCACCGGGTAAACCTGGAAACTACCAATATACCGTTTATTTAAGATCGGATTCCTACATGGGTTTGGATCAGATTAAACCATTAAAGGTAGGTTTCTCACACAGGTGGGTTTGAGGATTGGAGAGAATTCTACAAGTTTAGTGTTGCTGTATACTAACAACTGCACTGGCTTTGTATCTCTTGTACCTATAAGTTATCCTGTACAAGTAGTCCTCAATTTATGATTGGTTGCTTAATGACAGTTTGAAGTTATGATGAACCTTCCCAAAGCTACATATGACCCAGTTTTCAGGTTCTGACGCTCCCTACCCTGTGATCACATAATTGCATTTTGGGTGCTTGGCAACCAATTGTTCTGGTTGGCTGTGGAGTCTTGCAGTCATAAGACCATTTACAGTGTGGGTTTTGGCCAGAAACTGGTGTTTTACTTCCCGTTTCTGGTGCAAAATACCCTACTTAACTGATTTTAATTTGACTGTGATTTTCACTTAGCAACTATGACATTTGCGTAACAATGACTTTAAAATGTTATAAAATCAGTCATAGTCACATGATGACCTACTGGCATGGCTTATGACCATAATTCCATGTTGTACGTAGAGGGCAATAATGCTGAGTTTATTTGAGTATTTTGATTGGAAAAAAATTAAACTTAAGAGCAGGAACTGAAAAATCTTAAATTTGTGAGGCAGGGATCAGCAATATAATATCAGCAATGTAAGTCATCTGCAGTGTGCACTCACACAGCATTGAATTCCTGTTTGATAATAAAGGTGGCTGGAATAAGACAAAATATCTGTAGTCCTCATCTTACAACCATTAATTTAACAACTGTTTGAAGTCACAATGTCACTGAAAAAAAATTTATGATTGGTCCTCACACTTATGACCATTGCAGCATTCCTATGGGGATCATGTGATCAGAATTAGAGCATATTAATACCAGCTACAGTGTCCCAGGTCATGTGATCTCTATTGGTGGCCTTCCCAAGAGATTTCCCACAAGCAGAGTCAATGGGGGAAATCAGATTCCCTTAACGACTGCATGGCTCACTTAATGGCTGCAGTGATTCCCTTAATGTCCATGGCAAAAAAGGTCATAAAATGAGGTGTGACTCATTCAATAACTGCTTAACATTGCTTAACAATGGAAATTTTAGTCCCAATTGTGGTCATAAGTAGAGGAATGCTTGTAGCTAAATCTTTCAAGACTTCTTGTCTGAGAAAAGCCTTTTTTGACATTGAGCAGCTCTGCTTTAGAAATAGGTACCCACATTAAATAATGGTCTCCCGAGGGACAATAATTTTTTTCTGAGTATTTTGACCCATAAATATAAAAGCTATACCTGATTTTTTAAAAAATTGATGAATACAGAATCTTGGCAGAGGATGGAGAACAACTTGCTTAACTACTTATTATATATGCAAAATATTTTATGGTTTACTCCTTATCTTAGAGTGCTCTTGAATTAATCTGTAATATTATGCAGAGAAACTTTAATAACTTCCCCCAAATGATAAGATTTACATTCTGTTTTTCCCCTTCCTGCTTCCCCTCTCTTCTCCAATCACTTGAACTCTCTGCAGCTGGAAGTTCATGAAGCAAAACCTGTGCCAGAAAATCATCCACAGTGGGATACAGCAATAGAGGGAGATGAAGATCAGGAAGACAGTGAAGGTTTTGAAGACAGTTTTGAGGAAGAAGAGGAGGAGGATGAAGATGATGACTAAATAGTATGACGAATGAACTGTGTTATACGGGATATCTCTACAAACATGACCTGGGAAAAGATAAAAACAGTGCAGATGAACTGAAGATTTTTTTCAAGTTTCTTTTTACCAATTATGAATACTTCATGTAATTTCCCAGTGGAGGTCTGTCAGTCAGTTGGGTGTATAACCTGGGAGATGCTTAAGGCTCTTCACAGCCTTTTAAGTATAGGATGCATTTATTCCAACTGAAAATAAAAGTTTTTTTATTCTAAATGTCCAGAAGTGTGGGCTACATTGTTTGATCAACTTTTTGGTCCATATAGTAACAGATGCTATTATTAAATGGAAGCAATCATTAAACCAACATTTCATATTAGGCAATTTGTTTTACAAGTTCTGTTGAAATTAACATCCACTTGAGTTTCTACTTTGCGAGATCTTTTTCAGTGATGTTAAGAACATTGAACTAAGATTGCTTATAGCTTTCAGTCTATTTTGTTTGCTTTGGACGAGTGGTACATTCCATATTGTCACACACATAGGCTTATTTTTTGAAACTTAAAATCTACCTTTAATGAAGGGGAGTCCTTGCCCCTAATTCTCATGCAGGTTATAAATCTATATTTCTCAATGGCTAAAAATATATCTAAGCACCTGCTATCTAGCAAATCATACAGTATTTCTTTTGATAAACCTGTATGTATATTAAGAGTTTGGGGACCATATGTTATACCAAGCAGTGGCAATATCCTTTTCTAAATATAAAGATATCAAATCTACAATTCTTGACTTTCAGTCTACTTTATTTTGTCAGAAGCCTTTTAAATCAGACACACTAAGATATGTTTTTTGTATTTATTCAGAACCATTCAAAGTAAACTGGATAAAATTTGTTAAAAAATATACCTTGTAATAGTTCATTTTTCCTCTACTGAGGATATTAATGTGGACTATATTCCCAACACAGTTGGTTTTGATTAAATATAGATCACAAGGTTTCTGTGAAGGAGAAGCAAAACTTGCAATAAATTCTACTGTTTCTTCCCATGTAATAAATACAATTATTGATGTGGTTAGAAACTGTAGAAATACATTCAGATGTCCATCATGTAGAAAGATTTTTTATAGTTAAATGTTAAAGAACTAAAATACTGTAAAACCCTTGACCAATAAATAAATAAATAAATGGTCATGCAGGAAGATTTTCATAGAAGAAAAACCACCTACAGGCCAAATGAGCTGCTCCTTTATTTGTTTATGAAATAATAGACTGTCACTTTCAATGCAAACTTACATGGATATTTCTCTTTGTAATTGCAGTAGTTGCAAATAAAATTTAAAAACATCCTTCATGTGAAAATGTTTTATTAAGAAAAGCAACTGTTGGCATGGTAAATTTGGAGTTTAAAACTTAGATTGTAATAAAATAGCTGCTATCCATATTACAATTATGTAACATTCAATATTATACAGAAAGATCTGTCATAGAGAGGCAATGTTTTGCCTTTTCAGCTCGCCATATTCATAATATCAACTATAATATGAAAATAATTTCATTTTGAAAACAGTGCTGCCAACAAAATGTTTTCCAATATAGTTTGAGTAGTAAATTATTTATTGTATCTAAAGCCTAGAATAGCCCAAAAGATGAAATTGCCCTCAAGTCAAATTTGATTCCTGACATCTACAAAGGTACACTCGTGTTGTTTTCTGGGAAGCAGAAGGGAAATGATTTGCTATGGTTTTCTTCAAGTTTTTCTTTTTATTTCACCCCATAGCCCTGTTTATTTTTCTATTAAAAGTCTCACAATTATCTATTAGCCATGTTTGACAAACACTGCATATGTTTTTAAGATAAGCCATAGGTGCTTCATAGGTGATTCAAGTCATTAAGCAACACTGACTTGTTGCTAAGAAATGGAGGGGAGAGAGAGGGGGGGGGAGAGAGAGAAATCAGGAGAGAGAGAGAGAGAGCGCACACAGATACAGACATACAGATACGTATACATACACATGCACACATACACACATTACAGACACACACAGACACACACGGATATACTATTTTTGTTACTATGATGTAGCGAATCATAAACCTGGGTACCTTTCTTAACTTTAGGCAAGAGATGATTTGTATCTCACTTGAAACAGGAACAGTTTGAATTTACAGCTTTTGCCACATTAATGAGTTCTGACTTACTGATCTTTATATTTTTCCTTTAAAGTATGAAGGACATGCTAAATAGTGAGCTGGAACTCTTCTTACTGAACATTCATCAGGCTCTTCCAAGCAGGAGTTTGAGTTATAGGCAAGGATTCTTTTTAATAGCATATTTTCTCAATAAAGAATGAAAAATCATATATTTGGGTTCTGACATTAAGAGCTAGAAAAAACATTTTTGTAAAGTGAAACTTCAAAACACTTCCATCTGTTATTTTCCCTCATCTGGCATAAAAAGGAAATTCTGGAAAATATTTGGTAGGACTATAGCAGCCCCATTAGGTGTCCTTTGGCTGGAGCACTTGGCAGATTAAAGAGTGTATTTAAAAAGTGATAAGAAAAGGGATTCTGCGCAGCATGTGCTTGATATGAAATATTTCTCTTTATGTGCCTTTACTAAAGCTAAATAAAGCACTTTCTCTAAATGTTAGGAATTTTTTTTAAAATTATAACATTTACTGTGTCGCCTATAGTAGGTTCTCTACAATGCTGTACATTGTCCCTCTAAAGACTACACCTGTAGTAAAGGAGAACCAGAAGGGTCAAGGGCCATAATAAATCCAGGAAACAACATTTAGAATAGTTGTAAAACATGTTGTAACTGTACTCACTCATCTCCTTGCTTGGTGCCCTGCCTTATGAGTATCTGGTTGACAACCATGGAACTCATACTGTATCTTGGAAACTCAATGGACTTTTTCCAAAATCAGATCTAACAGGATTCTTCTTAGTACTTTTTCATGGCAAGGTTTTGTTTCAGCTATTTTATTTCAAGATCATTTCCCATATTATACCATGATAAACCAAGTTTTGCCACAGAATGTAACTTCTAGGAAGCAGCAGATTGTTCTAACTCTCTGCTAGCCTGCGTGTGTTTGGAGGGGGGCTTTGTGCCAAGCAATAATGGCTAGATTTTTTTAAAAAAAATGTGTTTACCAATTTGGAAAGATGTTAAGAGAGATATGTATCATGCATGAAAGGCAGGAAATAGGAAAGAAAAAGAAATAAATATAAAGGGCTTAATTGGGCATATATATTTTAGGTCCTTTCTGGATGATCTCCACCTCTTGACATCTTTTCCACTAGCAATGTAGTGGTTGTAATTTTTTCTCCTGAAATCCCTGCTGCACATTCCTCTCCAGTATACATTATAAGACACTTGATGCCCTGCTCATATGGATTCCTTCACTTGATCCATCCTAAAATTAAGGGTTGGGATGGGGTGGCTAATCTTGTTAACGTGCTACTTTTCGACTTGCTAACCTTTAAAAAAAAAGTTTTTATTGCAATGCCATCTTCCTTTCCAGAAGGGGGAGACAACTGGATAATATATACCGCAATCACAACAAAAATGTAATTTGCTAAAAGAAGAAACCTGAAAGACATTCAAACACTATGCATCATTGTGTTGCTTCAGATAAATTTAGCTGATTCTACCAAAACCAGTTTTATAATCAGGGAAGAAATCTGATTTTCTTTAAAAATCTTTACATCCTGTCTTGTCACAACAATAAAGCAATGAAAAAAGCAGTTTAAAATACATAATTTTAAACTTACTCATATAGTTAAAAATAAACCCTCTTGTGTCTAGTACTAACCTTAAAAATAATCAAAACTCCTACTGACAATGATCTGTCTCTTTTATATACACTATTCAAAACATATAACGAATTATTTCAGGCATTTTTAAAACTGGAAAAGTAAATGTATGCATCATATGTGCATATCCATTATGTTATTCTATTTCAACTCAGAAGCTTTATGTAAAAGAAAAAAAGATTAAATAGTAAGCAAAGAAAATGAAGGAAATAGGAGAGAAAAAAGAAATAAATATAAATATATTTATGTTAAAAATCTATTCCTATCTTTCTGCTTTACAAACAACCATTATATCCACCAGAGCCATACACGGATTCGAACATCATTTTTTGTTCTTTAATTTCACCATTTTATAGAACTTGTCTTCTAACCACAATCTGTTCATCTTTTTTCCCTTCAACCTGTTCATTCTCCGTTTCTATATTTGTTTTGTAATTCAGTCCTGATTTGTTCTATGCATAAGAGATAACTTCATTAGCACATTCAATCTAATCAGAGGTGGTATTCAGCAGGTTCTGACCAGTTCTGGAGAACTGGTAGCGGAAATTTTGAGTAGTTTGGAGAACTGGTAAATTACCACTGACTGGCCCTTCCCCCATCTATTCTCTGTCTCCCGAGTCCCAGCTGATTGGGAGGGAATGGGGATTTTGCAGTAACCTTCCCCTGGAGTGGGGAAGGAATGGAGATTTTGCAGTATCCTTCCCCTGCCACGCCCACCAAGCCACGCCCACCAAGCCATGCCCACAGAACCGGTAGTAAAACTTTTAGAATCCCATCACTGAATGCGCATTCATCCCCCATTTCTTCTTGAATTCTTCTGTTCATATCATACCATGCACACATTTAAGTGAACTATTTTCAGGGTGTGGAAGTTAATTTTATATTTTCCTGACATAACGCCCAAATAAGGGAGAAGAAGCATGCTTTTTACAAAACATTTTTCCTTCTTTGGCAAACAAACAACTAAAGCAAAAATAACATACCATCCACTATCTTTCTAATAGCATTTCCATTTTTAAAAAAATATCTCCATCAATGTTCTCAGGTTTAATGATCATTTAGTACAAATTGTTATTTATTTATTCTGCTTCCCTATATCTTGCAATTGTTCACTCCATTGCCTGTTAAACACACCTACTTTATTTTTTATTTTATTTTTTATTTCTCATATATACATTCACAATTATATGATCTCACAACTGTTATTAATAATATGTATTTGTAACAATTTTTCTCCCCTATAGTTGACAATATACTTGAAATTGCTTTCTTACCATCCCATAAACCCATCTTATTTTACAACAATCCTACTTCTTCTTCCTTCCTACTACTTTGATCTTCGATACATTAAGTATCTT